TTATATATATATATATATATATATATATATATATATAGAAAGTTTTTACAAACAGCTATTGATCGATACACATATATTTACGTCAACATGGTTGCATACAACACCGTTAAATCGTACGTGTTCATATTTGGCATGAAAAATGGAACGTACAGGAAACAGGAACGATATTTATTTCCTTTGCGAAAACGCATTGAACCTCGTTATCATATTTTCAATAAATTTTGTTAACAGACCGGCAAAATAAATTTTGCTAAAAGACCTTAACACCAAAGCAACCGTGCAAAATGACGAACATGTTCAGAAAGATAAAACGGCGCATCAATTGCCGATCAAACAATTTTCCTTAAAAAACAAATTGTTAATATTATCGATACATAAAATTCTTTAAAAAAGAAAATCCAAATATAAAATAATAAAAATGACATTTACGCATTACTTATTAACTCCGTTTAAATCCGCAGAATTTTTTCTCTACTTTTAATCTTCTTTGTGACATTAATGGTTAATAAATTTTAGCTTTGTAGGAGCTTGAAAGCATACGTCTCAAAATATGTTTACTTTGTAGATTCACGAGCACAAAAATGCGCCGGGAATAATGCTCTTTTCAAACCGTGTTTTGGGAAGGAAAGAACTGGAGGAGAGATGGAATATATACATGAGAAAGACGGCTGAAAAATGGCACATTCGTGGTTAAGAAATTGATAAGGAGGCTGATAAAATATGAATGGTCCGTGTCGGGCACACCACGTCGTTTCCACGGAAAAGATCTTTTCATCGGCGACATTTTTCATATTTGTTCAAATCGGTAATGTCAATTCCAATCGATCCAATTCCTCGCTCTATCAGATCGTTCTTTTGTACGATCCAAAGCGGAAAGAAACATCGTTATGCAGACGTGTTTGACGAAGTTATTAACACGCCGCGTTATTCTAATATTCCAGTGAAATAATTCGCTGGAAAATCTATTGTACGCATATGTAAATTAAATCGGAGTCCTTCGGTAACTTGGAATTCATTAACGAACACGTAATATTTCGACATAATTATTCGTTAAATATAGATCGAGTAAAGCCCGCGGGCATTTAAGAGTGATTATAATTTTATTATAATGTTATAAAACAGAATTTATGGAAAAAAGATTATCCAGACATCGAGTGATAATACGAATCAACTTTTCTTTTCCATTTCACGCGTAATTTATTATAAATTCGGACGAGCGAATAATATCAAATTACGAGTTAAAAAAAAAATAAGATATCTAAAACTTTATCATTTTAACAACACGAAATAAGGAAATAAGGAAAGATTTGTACAAAATGTTCACGTCGGAATCCAAATATCAACTCGGTTACAATTCGCAGATTCAAAGGAGATGTGTATTCGGATCGATTCACCGTTATCATCGAGGGGAGCGAAAATCGAGAGACTGATATAAGTATAAAGAGTCTTGCACGTGGCTTCCATATTGAAAAGTTTTCTCGAAGAGGACAGAAACGTCTCAAGCGTAACGTGGTTGTTCGCTCGCGACGAACGATCTATGCCGAGAAACTATGCCGTCTTCCATATTTCTTCCTCTCGAAACGATGATTGACAGATTTTCCCAGCTCGAAAGCAGATCGTGATCTTTCCACGTGATCGTTTTCGAAAACCGAAACAAAGATCCCATCCTTCAAACGAAGGGAAAAACGAAAAGCGATTTTCGTACTTCGAATGAAAACGACGATTCCGTTGGAATCGCGGGAACGAGAACGATTTTCGTGGCGAAACTAATTATACCAGGGGTCGTTTCAACCGCGTAGATCGAGATGAGTGAAAAAGAAAAACAAGGGAAAATGGGAACATCTTCATAACGCGATGGCGATGTAATAAAGCCCGCCCCACACGGAGGAAATTTCGCCGAGGAGAAGCGTCGCGGGTGGCGTCGTTGGAGAAAAGAGACGGGGAAAAAAAGAAAAGACGAATGAAGGGAATAAGTGGAAGAGGCGGAATGATAGAAAAGAGGGGAAAGACGGGAGAGCTGAATACAGCGAAAGAGGTAAACTCTGGTAATTTCAGTGATGGCTCGGCTTAGACCTCTCTATATCCGGTGAGTAACGCAAACCCCTTGGCGCAAGTCCTTCCACCTCGTGCTGCCTGAAACTCAACCCGCTTCTCTTCCCTCTTTCTAATCCCATCCCCCGGTTCGCGCTCATCCCTCCCCCTCTCATCTCATGGGAGGCGGGAGGAAGCTCGCGAACCTCGGTGCCTGGCTGGCTAATCAGCGAAGTGTATAAAGTGCCGGGGATGAAAATAAAACGGCTGGATCTCGAAAATTAAATAAATAACTCGCCTCGATTCCGTGGACGTGAAAGAGCCGTGGCTCCACGTGAAAGAACGCGAGAGAGTGACGGGAATGAAAGAATCGGGAGGAGTATAGAGGGAAGGTAATCTGAAACAGCGAGAGAGGCTCGAAGAGATGGTCAGATTCGGAGGAGTCAAAGGAAGGAGAAGGATAAATAAACGAGGACGAAAGGGGTTAGTATTCGAATGAAGTTGCAACACCTCCCCTTGCTGCAGTTCGGCCTGAAAGAGGGAATTGAAGCATCCTGATGTTCCTCGTGCCGCTTCCGTCGAACGGGTTCCTCGGCCTAAGAGTTGCTGAAATTTTATTACGCTCCGCCACGCTCGTTCCCGTTAATGAGCGCATTGTCGTGCAAACGAGACATTTCAGTTGGGGGACACCGTCTCTGCTCCCAGACCTACCAGTCACCTTCTCTTCTTTGTTCAATAACGTAGAGAAGAAGTCGGATTGGACACGATGTTGCACAAGAATATTACAGGCTATGCTTTTAATTGATGAAGTTTTGTGAATGAACCTGCTCGACCCTCAACCTAAGGCGAATATTAAGTTTCGTGGAAGATTATCAATAATTGGAAAGGACTACTTTTCGATTCGAAAAGTCTATCGATTCACAAGAATCGAACTTGATTATCATAGATGTTAAGAGATGAATGGAAACTCGCCCTTATTATGCCGTGACATTATGTAAATATTGAAAAATTATTACAATTTTATAACTTACTAGCAGCGACTTTA